GGGCCTGGGGGGAGGCCGGCCCCGCCGTGTGCTCGCCCCACGAAGGCTGCGAATAACCGTTTAGGGTCAAAGTGCCTTTCGTTTTTCCTCTTAATTTATTGTTTTGTTTATTTTGCACAGTACCGGACATCTGTCTGTCCGTGTGCCTCAGTTAGTATAGATTCTCGTTAATTAAGGTGCCGGGGAAGTCTTGCTGCCAGTGGAGGTTTTGCGGGCTCATACCGGAGAGCTAACTTTTTCTGTTGAAACTGGGACACGCCTTCAGGTTTTGCCTCTTAGAGCTCGCCTGTGGCATGGCTTCAGACGCCTGCGTTAGTATCCCTTCGCTCTCTTGATTTTTATGAAAGCGAGAAGGAAAATGGTGTTCCAGAGCAGGTGTCGGTATCGATTTTCTTACCCGTCTGGAAGCTAGTTCGCTCAGTTTGATCGTGAGTGAAACGGTGTGATGTTTTACTGCATTTTGGTGTCAAAACAATGTGTAAATTGTAATGCTCGAGCTTCTTGTTTTGACTTTCTTAAACGACCTTTGAATTTCTCTTTCTTCTAGGGTAGGCAGCATTGTAGGATCAGTGATCAAGAAACTAATGGGAAAAACTCCACTGCCAGTTCAAATGACTTCAGTGATCCAGTTTACAAGGAAATTGCTATAACCAATGGGTATATCAACAGAATGACCAGAGATGAGCTCAGAAGTAAACTTGCAGAGTTCAAGCTTGAAACCAGGTTAGGCTGATTTGTAAACCTTTTGATTTATCTTTGAGAGCAGTAGAGCTTTAATCAGCCTTAAGGGATGATTATTTTAAAGTTTAAAAACACACCACAAAGTGCAAAGCAGACACGCCACCAAACGCCAGTTGTTTTACATGCAGTCTTGATGCAGCTTTTGCTGTAGGATTAGTGCATGTGGTACTGCTTAATGTGATATCGGAAATGTGCGCTCTCTCAGCTGGTAACGCAAAGAAACAATATGTAACTGTTGGTTACTTCTCAACATGTTTTTGGTCAAGGGAGAAAGATGGGTCTGAAGGACTTGCAAGGGTGCTCAGGTGGTGTTGCAGACCTTCAGTGTGTAGAAGCTCGCTTCAGAACATACGTATTTTTATTTACTGTACCCAGTAAATATTTGATATTGGCTAGAGCCTCTGGTGATAGGGCTCGGAATTTAATCGATGCAGAAGACACGTACCTTTAGATGGAGAGTTTGCTAATCTGAATAGATGAGATAGCACATTCACCTATTCACATTATTCTATAAACTGGATTTGTGCTCATTGAGGAGGAGGGAGAAAGGGCTAGGTATATAAGAAAGTGGTTCCTGCTCTGTCAGAAATTACCTTCAAGACCCTTTGATATTGCTGTGGCCAGACAAATTTGAGATGTTGAGAAGACTGTCAACTGGGGAAAAAGAAAGTGTGTTGTTTCTGTTGGCAACAGTTATGAAGAAGTAGTAGTGGTGATGGTGGTGATGTTGGGGAGTTAGCAAAGTGAGAAGCTACTGCTCTGGAGGAAGGGGGAATTTGAAAGCTGAGATGGAGTCTGAAAGGAGAGGTCTAGCTTTCTAGAGAAGAAGGTGACTGTAGGGGAGAGGATGTTCAGAGAAAAAAAAAAAAAGTGGAGGGAACAGAGATTCATTTGAAAGGAATAAAAGTTAAAAAAAAAAAAAAATATGGTGTGGGTGGGAAGTGCAGCCTGCCACCTCCACCCTGTCTGTCTGCAGATGTTCTGGCTGCATGGTTTTTTTTAATTCCTCCTTTGGTTAAATGAATTTGGCTCTTCAGGAGGCAAAAACTTTATCATTACCTGATAAAATTTTTAGTAAAACAGGTTAGATTTGTACAGTTCTTCAGCAGTTATTCTGATTTAGAAATGAAACACAGAATTCAAATAGTAAATTATGTGTTTGTGGTTTCCTCCTAGGTTATTAGTTTTCTATTTGAGTTTTTTATTCAGTTGTAAATGCAGAAAGTTTTAAACTTTTCTTTTAGCTAAGCTAGACTTCTTTTGTCAATATATTCAATTAGGTTGGTCAGAATATGTCTTACCTGTAAACAAATAGTGCATCATCTCCAATGTAGTGAATTGAGCAGATTGCCACACACCATCCTTTCCTTTGGGGTTATTTTGATAGCAGATCATCTCCTCTTTCAACTTCTTTTATAGGTCTGATGAAGAAAAAGGTAATTTTCCCCTCCATCAGCTTCCATCGTGTTTCAACTTTGAATGAACTGGTCATTGAATTAAACCAGATTAATAAACTAGAGTAGAAAAAGAGTTATTTGTGTTTGCAGAAGAGGCCGATGTTCTGAAATGCTGGTTTAGTAGTCTGATTCCGGTTTTTCCTTGTGGATGAGTGGACTGCTTTTCTGATAATACCACTTGCTACAAGGAGCTCTTACAGCTTCTTTGATTTAATTTGCAATGTGTAATTTTAAAAATAACTTCCTTCGAAGAGTAAATTATCCTTGTTTATTCAGCTCTGGTTTGGTATGTGGCACCTGCACTTGCATATTATAATGTTTGTATTAAAAAAGACGCAGTAAGTAACTTTAATCATTTGCCACTGTGAATTTACGTGTTAGCCACAAACCTCCTGAAAAGCAGGATCTTGACCAGGAAGTTTTTCTGACAACTGAGATCTTGAATACTTTAATTTTAATTGAGTTACTCAAGCTCAATTTTAAATTTAAATTGAGACAAATTTAAAATGTGGGCGTTTTAGGTGGATTCTGCATTGTCTGTGCAACTGATGCAGAAATACCTCGGGCATCAGTCACTTCAGGCAGAGGACACAGGGAAGTACGGGTGAAGCAGTACTGCTTCCAGGGCCAGAGGTCATCTAGGAGCAACCTGCAAAGACTTGGGCTTTGCAAAGGCTTCAGCTACTGAGTCTTGCTGAACTGGAGGTGACTGCAGAGTGTCTCTGCACTGTGCTTCCCAGTCTGTCCCCAAATACTGGTATCATCTAGGTGTTTTAGTTGTCAGGGCGGGGGGGTATCACAGCCTCTGCGTTAACCCAGATAATGGAGTGCTAATTGTATGATAAAGTTGAATTCAGACTTCTTACGTGCTGGTGTTCAAAATGAGGTTAATAAATTGTGAACTTTCAAATGTTAAATATAGCTTCAGTTCTACAATGGTGAAATAATTCATTAAATGAGAGTGTGATCTTTATCACTTATCTCTTTAGAGGAGTGAAAGATGTGCTAAAAAAGAGACTGAAAAACTATTACAAGAAACAGAAGCTGATGCAGAAGGAACCCATTAATGGAGACAGCTACTATGACTACATCTGTGTTGTTGACTTTGAAGCAACATGTGAAGAAGGAAACCCACCTGAATTCGTACATGAAATAATTGAGTTTCCCATTGTCTTACTAAACACGCGTACCCTGGAAATAGTAAGTGATCTCATTACTGTGTCGGTATGCTGTTCTTTGATGTAACTTCTTTGCTTCAGAAAGTCTAGATCAGTTTTTAGGTAGATGTTGAACTTCATTAAAAATAGCTGCTTTCCCCCCCCCCCCCCCCCCCCCCCCCCATAAAGACCTATCATCTGTGCCTCTTACATACATACAAACAAAACTTTCTTTCTATTCTTAAAGCATTTGGAATAAATCATGCTCCTGGTGTTGACTCCCTCTACTGATGTAAGGGACTTGGAAGTTTCTCAGTCATCCTCCGTGCCACCCCCCACCCCGCTTCTTTCCCTGCTTTAAGACCCACAAAGCTATTTCTAGGACTCAAGGGATTCATCCTAAACAAGAATTAGCAAATTCTGTAGTCCTGTGTGAGGCAATCTAGAAGAGACTAATGCGGAGGTCTAGAAAGTGGCGTTGAGTGAACTCTGCTTCTTGGCAGGCTGGACTATTTCCACAATGTACCTGACAGATTGACAGCTGTGTAACGTGATTTTAAACATACTTAGTAGGCGTTTGGCAGCCTCAAGTGCTCATTTCCAGTACAGCTTTCTTTTACCAAAAACTCGTTGCTGTCTAACTGAAACTGAGTAACTGAGCGAAATGGAGGAAGTGCACGCTCCTCTGACTGACGGTTCATTTTATCGCAAGCTTCTAAGAGGAGGAGGATTTCCAGTAATCACTGTGATGCTGCATGAGGGTGTAGCTGCATGTATGACTAACTGCAGAGAGAGGATTGTGCAGATTACAAAGATTGTTCTATTACCTTTAGAGTGCTAGGAAACAGTTTTTTTTCCTCTGTCCAAAAGGGTTTGTATAGCAGCAGGGATTTGGGTCTTTTTTTTTTCATGAAACTTGCATGTTATCTTCACTCTTGTACTGCTTAGTTTCCCAGAGAGAGTCATTGTGTTTGTCTCTGACTGGCTGTCATCCAGAGGTGTATGACTTGCATGCAGCCTCTGAGATGCGCAGCGGTTGCCTTCCTTGAATTACAGGTGAGCCTTTAGAGATAACACCTAAAAAACATCAGGGCTTTGCGCATGCCTCTCACTTATTTTTTTTTTTCCTTACCCATGCTCTTCTTTTCCCAAATCCTCCCCTTTATTGCCGTCTGTCCTTCTCCCCTCTTACATCCACATCCTCGCTTTTTGGTGCCTGCTGGCTGAGAGGAAGGACGTGTTCCGGTTGGAAAGCCATCTGTTCGTCCCATTGTGAATCTCATGATGGCCAGTCAGGGCGCTCATACTGGCTGGGGAGGTACACACTCGTTTTTGCCTCAAGCAGGGCAAGTAGCCGCTATTGCCTTTCATCTGTGGGCAAGCCAAAGAAGTTGCTATGCAGTGTGCTGCTGCTGAGTGTTTGATTCTCTTATTACAGGAGGATACCTTTCAGCAATATGTGAAGCCAGAAATTAATCCCAAGCTTTCAAACTTCTGCATCACTCTGACAGGAATCACCCAGGTAATTTGCACTTTTGTTTCTTCAGGAAAGAAGATGAAAAAAAGAGATGTGGTGTTGATGTTTTCAGACTGGGAGTCTTTCATGGTAATTTTTCTGTAAGGCTTATTCTCTTAATCCTTTTTCCCCCTCTCCCAGTTATCACAGAACTGATTTCACAAAGTTGGTCATTTAGGTGTTTGTAAGGAGCTGTAAATCTGTAGCAGAGGAAAGCACCTTTTGAATTGCATCAGTTCCTCTTGTAAGATTTTTATTCTAAAGGGTTGAGAGTCTTATGATGGCAATGGCTTGTGATCAAGTGACTTGAGCAGGAGCCTGGGAAAGAAGCTCCAAGGTTTTAATCCAAGTTCCAACAGCTGACTAACCTTCTTATCTTTGTAGATGCCATTTGGAGGTTGGCTTTTTTAGTGGTGCTTTTGTGGTGCCTTTTTTTCAGTTTTAAAAATCTGTCCAGTTGTCTGCTTATTTTAATGTGCGATCTGTTTCTAAAGATTTTTGTGAAGCCACCTTAGTGAGTGATTTAATGAGTGCCTATATACCAATATAATTCTTACACTTCATGCTGTTTTTTTTCTGACAAAAAAAAAAAAAAGTTCCTCACTTCTGCTTTTTTGGTTCTCTTAGGACATTGTTGATAAAGCTGATACATTTCCTCAAGTTCTGCAGAATGTCATAGAGTGGATGAGACAGCGAGAACTGGGAACAAAGTATAGCTATTCCATGTTGACAGATGGGTATGTCCTTATGTAACCTTCAGCATGATCTAAAACTGAAAAACCGTGTTTAATCTTTGTGAATCATTACACTGCCGTTTTGCCATTTCATTACGATTTTAGCTTTTGGGAAAATCAGAAAAGCAGAACTAAACAATTTGAAATGAAGCTTAAATCCGTTAGATGGCACTATTTCTTTCCTAGCTTTCTGTATGCAACTAAAGGATGTTGAATAGACTTTTTAATCCTTTTGTGTTGTTGTAATTCTGTTTACATCTAGTTTTCATATAGCACATGATATCTGAAAATAACATTGTGCAGTTTCAGTTCTAAGCAGCTCCCATGCTCTGCTGAATCCAAGGTTTCAGAGATGTGTGGTGGTTGTGTTGCATCCTGTGTGTGTTAGTGTTACTGTTAATACATTCTGCATATTTTGCCAGAAAGCAATAATGGATTATGCTGTTTATCACGCAAGGAGAAATGGCTAGCACAGAAAGCTCTCTGCTTTGGCTTAGAGAACTGTGGCTCTGGAGGGTCCCAGCTCTGACAGTCCTTGAGCTGCCACCTGAACTTGCGCTCTCACAACGTCTGCGTGGAAAATCAAGTCCCCTAATGACTGCAAAGTGAATAGATCTTGAGATCTAGATATATCTGTGATGCAACATTGTTCTTGTGATCTTAGCTTTGTTATACGATGAAAGATATTCTTCGAGCCTTAACTTATATAGCACTGGCCAGGGAATTTTTCTGTAGGTGATGCTTGCTTTTTAGCTGTGAAACATTCCTATTCTGTTAACATGTCTGCTTTCCTCCTCTTGGAGTGAGGGCTTTAAGTAGCACAGAGAGTTTTTTAACATTAGCCATGTTGAGTTGAATGATGCATTTTCCTGTTGCTGTGCCTGTTGTTTGCCTGAAGTAAGTCTTCTGCTGTGCTGGATTAAAAAAGCAGTCCTGTGCCGCTTTTTTACAGTGACTGTGTCGAACCAAAGGGAGATGAACCCCGAAACAAAACTGGAGTTTATGAAAAAAGAGCATGGGGGATCTTAGTATGACTTCCTAATGCTTCTGTCAAGTAGAATACAGAGAAATATTCTAGTCTATAATATGAGTTGTTTGAAGAATAATGTATCGTAGGAGATGAATGGATATATAACAAAACCTTTTGTAACTAGTCCAATTTACCAAGTGGGAATATTTTTTTCGCCGTGAGACTTTTTCCTCAAAATTCCTGAAGATTTGGACAATGACTATAAATCACAGGTCTTTTCTGGTGAAGAACCTGTATCATTGAAATGTGGTTGTGTCCAGTGTGAACAGTGAAGCCATTTAAAAGCTGTCACACAAGACTTGAGGTGTATGGTTTAGATCCATGTACACCTTAATAATAAGAAGTTAGAATAGTGTCATTCCAACTTTAATTTAAGGAACTGTGGTAAATACTGCTATTTGACTAATTTTTTACCTATCATTAGGTTTCAGTCTTTGGAAGCAACAGTTAATTAGAAAAAGAAAATGCTAAAGCAAAACTGGTGCAAGACTGGTTATGTTACTGGGCCTAGAATGTGTCTGGAATTCCCTTTCAGGGGAATCCCCTCAGTGAAATTCCTCAAGGAAAATAGGTACAGTGAAATCTGTCATACAGGTGAGATTGTGTAGACAGAGGGGAAAAAAAGGCTTCATTTTAGCTTGAAGCTTACAAACTTGTTGGGGTGGTTCCTTTCAGGAAGGCGGGCTAAGAGTGCATAGGGTTATAATTTGATCTTCTTTCTATGAAGGTCTGGTTCTCCTAATACTAAGTGCAGTCTTTTTTCAGTAACCTATGTTAAGTAGAGAGATGCATGCATACCCAAGTAATCGGGAAAATTTAAGGTGTCACTTGCTTCCCCAAGGGCTGTGTAAGCGTCTAGTTTATTGGCAGTTTTTGGAGTAGATGTGGTAGGTGGAGAAGTTGGCGTGCTAGAAAGGTTGGAAGGAGGACCCGGGGAACTACAGGCCTGTCAGCCTGACCTCGATGCCAGGGAAGGTCACGGAGCAGATCATCTTGAGTGCCATTATGCAGCATGTGCGGGACAAACGACGGATCAGGCTCAGCCAGCACGGGTTTATGAAAGGGAGGTCCTGCTTCACTAACCTGGTTTCCTTCTATGACAAGGTAACCCGCTTAGTGGATGAGGGGAAGGCTGTGGATGTTGTCTACTTGGACTTTAGTAAGGCCTTTGACACAGTCTCCCACAGCATTCTCCTGGAGAAGCTGGCTGCTCGCGGCTTGGATGAGTGCACTCTGCGCTGGGTTAAAAACTGGCTGGACGGCCGAGCCCAGAGAGTGGTGGTGAATGGAGTCAAATCCAGTTGGCGGCTGGTCACGAGTGG